CACAAGCTGGTGAACAAGAGGTTCAACCTGAAGATAAGGAAGAACTTCTTTACGATGAGAGTAACAGAGCACTGGAACGGGCTGCCCAGGGGGGTGGTGGAGTCGCCATCTCTGGAGACTTTCAAGGCCCACCTGGATGTGTTCCTGGGTGATATACTCTAGGTGATCCTGCTCTGGCCGGGGGGTTGGGCTAGATGATCTTTCGAGGTCCCTTCCAACCCCTAACATTCCGTGAATCTGTTATTCATCTAGTGGCCAGCCCAGCCCAGCCCCTAACCCATGACAAAACCCAAATGTTTCTATGTTTTTGAATAGTCATGAAATAAACGTTTAACTTTAAATATTTTTTTTCTATTTAAAGAAGTTAAATCTAGTGGGAAATAAATGTACAGGTGGAATAATACAGTGGCTCAAAAATATGCTAAGGTGACTGATTATATAACTCAACACAAGTCATATAATCAGTGACAAATTCAGAGTTTGTGTGTGGAATTTTACTGCTGTTATTTGAACATTATAAGATGGTCTGCATGGGTTTATATTGTACGATAACACACTTCTGGTTTTCCAGTTACTTTTATAAACACTTTATTTAATCAACCATTTGGTAGTATTTTGTATATAGTTGGTCCAAATCACAACATGAAGTGTAGTTTGCAAGTACCTCCTTAAAGATGCTTTTCCCCCCTATTGTTTTTATGATAAAAAGTAATACTAGGGAAACAAAATGGAGTTTACATTTGCAAATGCATGCTCAAAACCAAATAAAATTAGGGGGGAATACACTGCTGACTTTAAAAGACTTAAAACAAATGTGTCTGTGCATCCACAAAATATATGGGGTTTGATAGAGCTAAGTAAGGGTTTGGGTGGGTGAGAAATACCCTTGTTTGATGACTCTACATTAATAATTAATGTTCTTGCCTGCTTCTCTCTTTCTTCTTCTAAGGTTTAGTGAAAAGCATCTGATTAAACTCTGAATTTTCATTCCTGATTTATTTAATCCAGTACATTCATTTGTATGCTATGCATATGTCTGGGCTAACCTAACGATTTATAGGTGAAGCTACAGTCTTTTTAATGTGATTTTTTTCCCCTTTAAATCTTATTTAATTAGCCGTTGTGTAATATCCTGTTAACTTCTAATTACAGCCAATCAGATGATGATTCTGGGTCAGCATCAGCTTCTGGATCTGGTTCAAGCTCTGGAAGCAGCAGTGATGGAAGTAGCAGTCAATCAGGTAGCAGTGACTCTGAGTCTGGTTCAGAGTCAGGCAGTCAATCAGAATCAGAGTCTGACACATCTAGAGAGAAGAACCAAGTTCAAGCTAAACCACCACCAAAAGTTGATGGATCTCAGGTAAAAAAACCCACATAAATTAACCCTTTGTGGAGGAAAAAACCTCTGTACAGAGTTGTTACAAGAGTAGTTTTAATTTAAACAAACAAAACCTCCATAATTTTTACTTAGAATTTTAACTTGATTGGGTTAGTGAATGCATGTTTAGCTCTTGTAACAAACATTGGGCTCTTAAATATTCATCTCTGTAAATACCTACATTTAGATAAATACCCAAATTTTATCACACAGAAGCACCTATTAACTTACTGCCTATTTTTCAAGACAAAGCCACACATAATATTAATTCTAAAATATTTTAAAGCTGTCTCTCTAATGCTTAGTTTCTTCATATCAACCAATGACTGTATGACAATTTCAGGCTTAGATACAGCTTGTCTTCTGTATGGGGAAAAAGTCTGCCCAATTCAGGAAAAAAAGTAGTGTTTAGAAATCTCTTAAATGCAATGGATGAAAGTTACCTCTCCTCTGTTTCTCTGTGTAATATGGCCTTAATTTGGATGATATGTGAGATATATGAAAGGTAACAATGGACAAGGAGAAGGCTGAGGTACTAAACTTTTTTCACCTCAGTCTTCACTGGCAACCCCTCTTCCCACACCTCCTGAGTGGATGGTCCTCAAGGAAGGCACTGAGGGAGCAAAGTCCCTGTCACTGTAAGAGAAGGTCAGGATCAAGACCACCTGAGGAACCTGAACATACCGAAGTCTCTGGGACCTGACAAGATGCATCCCAGAGTCCTGAAGGAACCGGATGATGTAGTTGCCAAGCCAATCTCCATGATATTAGAGAAGTCCTGGCAGTCAGGTGAAGTCCCCGGTGACTGGAAGAAGGGAAATGTTGCTCTAATCGTATGGTTTAGCGTTAGGTAGTCCTGTGAGGAGCAGGGAGTTGGACTCTATCCTTATGGATCCCTTCCATCATGAGATATTCTAGAATTCTATGTACTTTGGTATTCCCATGTGAACAAAAAGATATCTGCTATGTGTTGGAAAAGGACTTATCTAGATCAGTTTAAAAACTTACTTTAAAAAAAAGTTATCTTAATAATACAGTGGCTTGCACAATTATTGTTATACTTACTGCAAAAATTGTGCTGGCAATTCTCATATAACATTATTTTCTGCAGAAGGCTCGCTATTTTAAAATGCATTAATAATATTGGATAGCATGTGCTATTTTATAGTGGGGGGTTTATTATTAATAAAATTGAGAACCATCTAATGACTCTTGTATCTGAATTCCAATTCAGTTTTGGAAGTCCAGTCCAAGTATACTTGCTGTGCAGAGATCAGCAGTACTCAAAAAGCAACAGCAGAAGGCAGCTTCATCAGACAGTGGTTCAGAAGAGGTGAATAACATAAGTAAATAAATGTAAACATGTATGTCTCATTATCCCATATGTTAGAATAAAATTACATAGAGCCAAGTTCTGTTCTCTTAAGTGTGTGTGCGTTTAAAAAGTCTGGATTTAGTCTATTGAAGTAATGTTCAAAAATTTGACGTGCATGCTCATCTCAAAATTTTCTTAACGGTGTTTAAATATCAGAGGATATGAAAGGTGAAAGAGATCTCAGAGGGCAGGAAATTTTATTAGGCTTTTGATAGAACCTTCATCTTGATCAACTTGCAGCAGTCTAAGCTATGACTATATATAGGCACAATGATGATATTTTAGGACAGGTTTTTGTAGTGTTTTCTAGAGTTCTGCTGACATGGTATATTCATAGATAGAGAAATACAAAATCAGTAGCAATCCTGGTCTTATTCAATATCAGTGGGTACACTGAGGGGGACGAAGAGGATAAGACACGAAGAATATGATTTCAGTTTGGAAGTAGGAGCTGAATTATATTTTTAATACTAAAAATACTTAATTCTTTTTGTGGTAATGAATCGTATATATTCCGTTCTTCATCTGCAGGATTCATTGAGCAGTGAAGATTCTCCAGATGATTCTTCCATTGAAACCAAGAAGAAAAAACAGAGAGAGTAAGATGTTTTTTATAAATAATTTTTTGTTATGACAACATAATGCTTATAATTACCCAGACTTCACTTCTCTGCACTTGAAATACATAATCTTGTGCTTCTCCATTTTGATAAACATTTTTTAATATTGAAAAATAAATACTCTTAAAGAAACATATATATTACCATAAATAGTGACATATTCTTATATATCACTATAAGAAGCTACTTAAGTACATTGTCTCAGATGAAAATTTAGGTTGGAATCCTGTAGCTCTTGCTAAATTTTTAAACACTTCAGAGGCAATACCCAAAAACCTTATTACAGGTTTGATAGCAATTAACTGTCTTGGCTAGTCAATAAAGCTAAGTTTAAATAGAGCTGATTTTAACCAAAAAAAACCCCCCAACTTTTAAGGAAACAGATGATTCTGCAATATTTCTAAGACACACAGATGTATTGACCACAATGAAAATGTAACTTCTAGGACCTAATAATATTTAAGTGAAAGAATCATAGAATTGTTTTGGTTGGAAGAGACCTCCATGATTAAGTCCAACCATTAACCCAGTATTGACAGGTCACCACTAAACCATGTCCCTCAGTAACACATCTACCTGGCTTTTAAACCCCTCCAGGGATGGGCACTCCACCACTGCCCTGGGCAGCCTGGACCAGGCCTTGACAAGCCTTTTGGGCAAGACATCTTTCCTAATGTCTAACCTAAACCTCCTGTGGCACAACTTGAGGCTGTTTCCTCTTGTCCTGTCACTGGGGAGGAGAGACCGACCTTCACCTTGCTACAACCTCCTTTGAGGGAATTGTTCAGAGCAAAAAGGCTTCCCATGAGCCTCTTTTTCTCCAGGTTAAACAACCCCAGTTCCCTCAGCCACTCCTCATAAGACTTGTGGCTCTAGACCCTTCACCAGCTTTGTTGCCCTTCTTTGGACACACTCCAGCCCCTTGATGTCCTTCATGGACTGAGGGGCCCAAACCTGAACCCAGTATTCGAGTTGCGGCCTCACCACTGCTGAGTGCAGGGGGACGATCCCTGCCCTAGTCCTGCTGGCCACACTATTGCTGACACAAGCTAGGATGCCATTTACCTTCTTGGCCACCTGGGCACACACTGGCTCATATTCAGCCAGCTGTTGACCAACACCCCCAGGTCCTTTTCTGCTGGGCAGCTTCCCAAACACTTTCCCCAAGCCTGGAGCGTTGCAGAGGTTGCCCTCAATCCCCTCATCCAGATCATTGATAAAGATATTAAACAGAACTGGCCCCAGTACTGAGCCCTGGGCAACACCATTTGTTACCAGCTGCCAACGGAATTTAACTCCATTCACCACCACTCTCTGGGCCCAGCCATCCAGCCAGGTTTTTACACAGAGAAGCATGCACCCATCCAAGCCATGAGCAGCCAGATTCTCCAGCAGAATACTGTGGAAAACGGTGTCAAAAGCTTTACTGAAGTCCAGGTAGATGGCATCCGCAGCCTTTCCCTCATCCACCAAGTGGGTCAACTTGTTCTAGAAGGAGATCAGGTTCATCAAGCAGGACCTGCCTCTCATAAACCCATGCTGACTGGTCCTGATCCCCTGGTTGTCCTGTACCAGTTTCAAAGCAGCATTTCTTAGGCTTTCTGATCTGAAATGTAATGAGAAGGTCTTTGAGTAATATTCCACCTTTAAAGGCTATTAGTACCATTTGAGCATCTTGGTCAAAGACCCCTAAACCTGATAAAGATGATAGTATAAAGATTTAGCAACCTTTCAAGAATTTATGCCAATTTATTTCAAGATATTGTCGTCATCGTCCCCTCCCCCGAGCTATTAACATGAAATTTCTCTGTACAATCAGAGTCCAATGTAAGGTACTATTGATCAGTGACTACATCTTCTCTGTTGCAAAGTAGATGATCTCAAGTAAGCAGGATTACAGAGATACTGCCACTGGGACTCACAACTGGCTTACTCATAGTATCTTGCATGGGTGTGTAGCACTGATTTGGAAGCTCAGTGGAGGCTTCTGGGAGCAAATGCCTCTCAGATTGCCATGGTTCGAGTCTTTCTGTGTGTTTCTCAAATCTGATTCTGCATTATTTTTGATTCCTGTGCTGAAGTTGCTAATTATGTTGCCTGTGCCTCATGAATAGTCATCAGAAAATTTTTGATAATGCAAAATAGAATCATATGGGTTTTTTATGACTTGAGCATGGGTAAGTACCAGTAAATACGTATCTTTCCAGCTAAAGTCTTGTTAAGGATTTAGGATTTATTGATGTCAAATTAACTCAGTTATTAAAGCTGTGATTTATATAGAGATCCAGATTTATAGTTTGATTTTTTTTTTTTCCTCCCCTCTTCTCCCCATCTACCTCTTGATAACCAAAAACTTAATTCAACTCCCTTGGAAGCCATTGGGTACTTTTACTGTTATCCATTCATGATAAGTGTTTGTCCTACGAGCTGAACTGACTATTAACGCATTAATGAAGAATGTTGAAATTAAAGCAGCAAACTGCTGCGGTTTGGGGCCAGGGCCACCCCCACAACCCTGGTGCTTGAGTCTCCCATGGTGCTTTCTGCCAGAGGCTCCAGGTAGGACCATTGCTCTTGGCTGCAGCGTAGAGCACATGTTTCATGTCCTGTCCTGTCCAGACTGGCCCAAGGGCTACAGCACGTACGATCTCTCCTTTGATCTGTTCAAAGGCTTGTTTTTGTTCATGGCCCCAGTTAAAACAGTTAGTTTTTTTCAAGCCACTTCATGGGTTGAAAAAAAGAGGGGTTTTACAATCTGGCTGTAACCAGGAATATGCATTTTCCAGAAACCCACAGCGCCTAGGAAGGCTTGTGTTTCCTCCTTGTTAGTTGGTGGGGACATAGCTGTTATTTTGTTAACCACATCCATGGGGATCTGGTGACACCCATCTTGTCGTTTAATTCCACAAAAACTGGATCTCTTGTGCAGGTCCCTTGACCTTGCTTCTTTTGATGGCAAATCCAGCGTCTAAAAGGATTTCAATGATTTTCTTACCTTTCTCGAAGGCTTCCTCTGCTGTATTACCATCACACAATGATGTCATCAATGTATTGCAGGCTTTCTGGGGCTCTACCTTTCTCCAGTGCAGTATAGATCAGTCCATGGCAAATGGTAGGGCTGTGTTTCAGCCCCTGGGGCAGTCAATTCCAGGTATACTGGACACCTCTCCAGGTGAAAGCAAACTGTGGCCTACATTCTGGTGCCATTCCATTCTGGAATAGAGAAGAAAGTGTAGCCGATAGGTACAGCTTTGTAAGGGAAGGCCTGGTAAAATCACGGCTCTGGCCTGTAACTTAGGCTAAGCAGAGAAGGGCTCTGGGAGAGTGACTCAGCTAGAATACAGGAGGTGAGGCGTGCTGTGTGTTTGCACCGTGGTGTTTGGTTAAAACGGGTTTGTTGTGCCTAAAAATTATGTAAACTAATGGTCAACAGCATAAAAAGGCCGGTTTTTTTTGTAAATGAAGTTCCTCCTTTGCACCTGCCTGGGGACTCTGTGCTGCTCTGCACCGCCCTTACCGACACAAGAAAGCATTAGCAATGTCAGTGGTAGCACACCACTTAGCTGCCTCTGACTCCAGCTCCTACTGGAGGTCTAGAATGTCTGGCACGGCAGCACTCATTGCTGGCGTAACTTCATTCAGGCCACGATAGTCCACAGTCGGTCTCCATTCCCCATTGGGCTTTCGCACTGGCCATATAGGACTGTTAAATGGTGAGTGAGTTTTGCTAACCACCCTTTGACCTTCTAGTTGACAAATCAACTTCTGGATAGGAGCTACAGAGTCTCTGTTAGTACAATATTTTCATCGATGCACCATTTTAGTAGCAACTGGCCCCTTCTGATCTTCAACTTTCATCCACCCCATGGCAGCAGACTCCTCTGAAAGTCCAGGCACAACAGCCAGCTGTTTAATGTCCTCAGTCTCTACAGCTGCTATAGCAAAGACCTATTGATACACTTTTGGGTCCTTATAATACCCTTTCCTGAGAAAGTCTATGCCAAGGATGCACAGGGCATCTGGACCAGTCACTATAGGGTGCTTTTCCCACTTATTCCTGGTTAGGCTCACTTCAGCCTCTACCATAGTGTTTTGCTAGTTACAAGGCCTAGCATAAACGATACAGCCAGCAGGAAGACAAACTAGTAAATCAACTGTATTGAATATAGAAAGGTCACTACATGGATGATCGCTGGGGGTACAAATAAGTCAATTAGTTCACAAGCAATCAACATCACCCCCAACAATCCCAACAACAATATCACACGACCAACAGTAGGTGGAACAAATAAGGAACCAAAGTCTCCCATAGATGGAATGGGAGACAACCAAGTCAACAAGTTAATCACATAAGATAAAGGCAGCCACACATTTCTCTCTCTCCTAAGCCGGCATTTGCAAAGGTCTAAGCTGACTGGGACCCAATTTCACAGGGAGAGTCAGGAGGTCCTGCCCCAACCAGGAAGCTCTGTGAAGTCCACAGATAGACACATGGTCCCAGATTTTATCCCCAAGCAGGACACCTGACCTTTGTTTACTCAATGTGGGACACCTGGGGCTCATTTACCTTATGGCTCTCCCTGCAGGGCCGGCTGCACCCTGGAGGGAAACTAAAAGGTAAAGTCACCACCTCTTTATGAAGGACTGTGGGAATCACCTATATGTCTACCTTAATTTGGGGCTCGGGGTTCAAACCCCAGCATTTCACACAGTCAGTTCTTGAGATCCTCCTGTCATTCCAGCGATGGTGAAGGATTCCGTCCCTTTATGATTTGATGGCAATAGGGTGCACTGTGCACCGGTGTCCACCAGGGCTCTATATTTTTGTGGTTCAAACGTGCCAGGCCATCGAATCTACACAGTCCAATAAACTCTGTTGTCCCTCTCCTCCACCTGTCTGGAGGCAGAGCCCCTCTAATTCCAAGAGGAGTACCCATTATTAAAAAATGGGTTTGTGTAGTTTACTGGGTTCGCAGAGTTTACAT